GCCGTTTGACGAGGTGCAGCTAAGGGCGCCTGACGTGGCTGCTGCTCAAGCGACAGAGAGAGTCATGCAAGCTGCATCGGCCTCATCACCTGCGCTTCAGCAGCTCCTCGCCTCCCTCGCCGGCGGCGGCATGCAGGGCCCTGCCGCCACCGCCGCCCCCTCGGTCGACGTGGCGGCTGTGGTGGCGTCGGTGGCGAGCGAGGTGGCGGGCGGCGAGGTGGACGCCGACGCGCCGCTGATGGAGGCGGGCCTCGACTCGCTCGGCGCCGTCGAGCTCCGCACGCGGCTGGCGTCGAAGCTTGGCGACGCCTCCCTGCCCGAGACGCTGGTCTTCGACTTCCCGACGCTGCGGCAGCTCGAGGCGCACCTGTCGGCGAGAGCGGCCCCGGCGGCTGCAGGGCCGCAGCTTGGAGACGGCTCCGCCGCGCTTCAGCAGCTGCTCGCCTCCCTCGCCGGCGGCGACACGCAGGGCCTTGCCGCCACCGCCGCCCCCTCGGTCGACGTGGCGGCTGTGGTGGCGTCGGTGGCGAGCGAGGTGGCGGGCGGCGAGGTGGATGCCGACGCGCCGCTGATGGAGGCGGGCCTCGACTCGCTCGGCGCCGTCGAGCTCCGCACGCGGCTGGCGTCGAAGCTTGGCGATGCCTCCCTGCCCGAGACGCTGGTCTTCGACTTCCCGACGCTGCGGCAGCTTGAGGCGCACCTGTCGGCGAGGGTGACGCCGATCGCTGCTACTCAATGCCCTGATGGCGCAGCCCTGCTCGCTCAGCTGATTGAACAGGCCTCTGGCGCATCTCGCTCAAATCAGAATCAGCTGCCACTCCAGCAGATAACTGTCACAGGGACAAGCTGTGCTCTTGCGGGCGGCATCGCTTCCTATGAGGGGCTGGTAACCACGACAGCGACTGGTTACGATCTGGTCAATGAGGTGCCAGCCACGCGCTGGGACGTCGATCACTCTCCTCCCGGATACGGTGCCGAGGTCCTTGGGCGAGCTCGCCACGGCGGCTTCATGCAGGGCGCCGAGCTCTTTGACAACGCTCGATTCAACGTCTCTCCGGCGGAGGCGGTAGCAATGGACCCGCAGCAGCGGCTGCTGCTCGAGCACGGCTATGCCGCGCTGCACGCCTCGGGCTTCGAGAGGGCCTCGTTGATGGGAAGCGGGGCCGGAGTTGCGGTGGGCATTACACAAACCGAATTCAACCACTTGCTGGCAGCTGGCCCGCTGCAGCGCAGCGTCTACACGGCCACCAGCTCGAGTCTCTCTATCGCGAGTGGCCGCCTGTCCTTCGTGCTCGGCCTGCAAGGGCCCTGTGCGGCTTTTGAGACGGCTTGCTCCGCCTCCCTAGTCGGCTGCCACTCCGCACTGCGCGCGCTCCAGCATGGAGAGTGCGAGCAGCACCTCGCAGCGGGCGTCAATGCGATGCTTTTGCAGGCCACCACTTTCTCGATTGCAGCTGCTGGAATGAGCTCGATCACCGGCCGCTCCCACACCTTTGACAGCCGCGCCGACGGCTTTGCGCGAGGCGAGGGGTGCACGGTCGCGGTCTTGGTTTCACCTGGCGAGCGCGGGCCAGCTTCTGTACCACATCGGGGCGCTGGACTCGTCTTGCGCGGCAGCTGTGTGCGGCAGGACGGCAAGAGCGCGAGCCTCACCGCGCCCAACGGGCAGGCGCAGCAGGCGCTGCTGCGGGCCGCCCTCGCCGACGGAGGCGTCGAGCCCGCCGCCCTCTCGGCCTACGAGGCGCACGGCACCGGCACGCCGCTCGGCGACCCGATCGAGGTGCGCTCGCTCGCGGCGGCGGTGCTGGCTGCGCGCGCGCCGTCGCCGCCGCTCTGCGTGGGCAGCCTCAAGGCGAACTGCGGCCACGCCGAGCCTGCGGCGGGGCTGGCGGGGCTGCTACGGCTGGCGGCGGGGCTGCTCGAGGCGCGGGCGCCGCCCAACGCGCAGCTGCGGCGCATCAACCCGCACGTCGGCTCTGCGGTGGAGGGCGTGGCGTGCGCTCTGCCGACGCAGCTGGCTCGAGGGCTGGATGCCGCGGCGGGCGGAAGGGGCGGCGTGAGCTCGTTCGGGTACAGCGGCACGATCGCCCACGCCGTGCTCGAGGCGGCGCCGCCTTCTCTCAGTAGCCCCAGCGGTGTCGCGACGACGCCCCTTCGCTACAAGCGACGCCGCTTCGCGTGGCGCGAGGCAGCTCCAAGCGCCGAGGCGGCTGCTGCGAGTGTAGAGGCTGCTGCTAGCTCTCACAGCTACGTCACCGAGTTCGTCCCGCTTGTCGCTGCTCCGGCTGCAGCACTGCCCACGCTCGTCCTCGGCGCCCGCGCCAGGCCGGTCGTCTCGCTCCCAACCGCGCCTCTCCCGCTCGAGGCCGGCGCCGCCGCCGGCGCGCTCGCGACAGCCTCCAAGGCCTCGGCGCTGCCGGCGGTCGAGGCGGCCCTCCGCTTCGTGCTCTCGCAGCCCGCCTCGCAGCCTCTCCCTACGTGGCTGCTCAGCAGCGCCGGATCGCAGCCTTGCAGCGCCGCCGCACGCGTGTGCCCCTCGCACGCCGGCCTCCTCGGCCTCGCCCGCACGGCGAGAGCCGAGGCGCCGGGCAGCAGCCTCTCGCACGTCGACGGCGCCGGACTCTCGGCGGCGGAGCTGGTGGCGGTGGCCTCGGCGCTGCCGCCGGCCGAGCCGGAGGCCGTGGCCAGCTACGGCGGGGTGAGGGTGCCGCGGCTGAGCCGCCTCGACGCGCTTCCAGAAGGATCGAGGGGCGTGGGCGGCCTCCAGCTCCTGACGGGCGGCACGGGCGGCGTCGGCCTGCTCGTCGCCAAGTGGCTCGGCGATCGAGGGGCGGCGGGCTTGGTCCTCGCCTCTCGGGGCGGGCAGGTGGCGGCGGCAGAGAGCGCTCGCCTCGCCTCGCTGGCTGGCTGCGCGGTGCGGGCTGCGGCGTGCGACGCGGCCGAGGAGGCGGACGTGCGGCGCCTGGTTGCTTGGGCGTCTGCTGCTGGCGGTGATGGTGGCGCGCGGCTCGCTGGCGTGTGGCACGCGGCGGGCGTGCTAGCAGACGGCCCGCTCCGCTCCCAGACGGCGCAGGCCTTCCGGCGCGTGTATGCTCCCAAGGCGGTCGGCGGCTGGGGCCTGCAGCGAGCGAGCGCGGCCTCGCCGCTTGAGGCGTGCGTGCTCTTCTCTTCGGTGGCAGCCCTGCTCGGCAGCGCTGGCCAGGCCAACTGCTCGGCTGCTAACTGCTGCCTCGACGCCACGAGCGGGCTGCGGCGTGCTGCTGGCCTCGCCTCCTCGTCGGTGCAGTGGGGCCCGTGGGGCGAGGTTGGCATGGCAGGAGGGGAGGCTGCCAGTGCTCATCTGAAGGCGAGAGGCTACAGCCTGATCACCATGGCCGAGGCTGCCCCCGCCCTGGCGGTTTCCCTCGGCGCCGCTGGCCCCGCGGTGCAGATGCTGCTCCTCGTCGACTGGAGCCGCTTCCTCGGCCTGCTCCCGGTCGTGCCAAAGGCGCTCTCCGCCTTTGCGCCATCGCACTCAGCCGCCGCCGCCGCCGCCGCCGCCGTGCCAGCAATGGAGAGCGACTTGGGCAGGGCGCTCTCGCGGCTGCCTCCCGCGGCGCGCCAGCCGCACGTCGAGGCGGCCGTGCTGTCGGTGCTGGAGGACCTCACCGGCGCAGGCGGCCTCACTGGTGACGTGGCGATTGCTACCCTGGGCCTGGACTCAATGGGTTCAATGGAGCTCCTGAGTCGCTTGGGGGAAGCTGCGCCTGGATTGACCCTAGAGCTCAGCCAGCTTCTGTCAACCACAACAGCAACTGCAAACAGCGTTGTCAACTTGCTTCTCGAGCCGCCTATGCCGAAGATGGATCTCCAAAAGACGCCTTTTGACGCTCTTCCTATCTTTGATCCGACAGCAATTGCGAGCACTGGCGTTGTGCGGGGTCCAGTCCGAGGCCGGGTGCTCATCTACATACCTGGTACTCCCGGCCTTTGCCTGCAGGAGTTTTCGAATCTCTGTCTCCTGCCCTTCACGTTGCTCGGCCTTCCGTATGCAAAAGATGCAACGGGTGACGCGTCTCTTTCGCTGCTTGTAGACAACTTGTTCGAGAGGGTGCTTGAGCTCAACTCTGAAGGAGCACCGATTCGCTTGATGGGGCACTCTTTCGGAGCTGTTCTCGCTTCACTCGTCGCCCGTCAACTGGAAAGTACGGGGCGTGTCGTCGAAGCCCTTGTCATGGTTGACCCGCCCCGGATCAGCGCCGCTCCCCGAGGAGTAGTCTCTATGCCTGCGAAAAGCGCAGTCCAGCGCTTTGTGGACACATTTCCGGCAGGTGTGACGTTTCCGACTGCGGATGTCCTCGAGTCGTTTGATGGCATAGTGTCCATGTTGGTCGATGCAGACCGGCACCTGCAAGATGAACGCGCGGCGCCACTGTCAGCCCCCACGCTCGTGTTGCATGCGGCAGACTCCCTTGGGGGCGCAGAGTTGTTCGAATCTATGCTTCCATCAGATTCTGTGGCAATCGAGCGCTGGGGCATCAGCAAGTGGCAGCAACTCATGATCGGAGCATCACGTGACTCGCGCAACGAGTGCCGAATGGGACCGCGGTGGTACCACGACCTACACGAGGTGGTGGTGCAGGGAAACCACCTCACGTGCCTGACTTCTGGGCAGCTAGTGGAGTACTCGCTCAAGCCCGTAAACTACTTCCTGGATGCTATGGAGAAGGGCCAGCTTCCCACCATGGCCTTGGGAGCAAGCTTTGCGCGTGAAACTTTGAGCGACCCGACAGCTGCCGCGTGGTATGAGCACGACGTGCAATGGCCAGCCTATCGTCCGGTCTTCCCGTGGGCAGACGACGTGGACGAGGCGGTGACAGTCTGGGCTGCTGCCTGCGCTGTTCCTGACATGAAAATTGAGGTTCAGCTAGCGCTGCTTCTCATCGACACAGTGCTCTTGCAGCAGCAGCAGCAGCATGCGTTTGAATCGCCGCCGCTTTCAGCATACCGCGCGTACGGGGCAAGTAGCACTCACGAGCCCCACCTTGAGGGATGGTTACACTTTGCGTTGTTGAAGGCGCTCTCGGGAAGTGACATTACTGCGGCTGAGGTGCGCAAGCATTTCTTCTTGTCGTCTGCAGGACGAGCCACCTCGGTCAACTTCAGCCCGCCGACACAAGAGGAGAGCCGTCTCGTTGGTTGCTATGAGCTATCATCTGTCGACTTCTTTGGGCTCGGGCAAGTGAACCCGCCGGCCTTGGTTGGACGTCTCTTGTACACGCGTGATGGGACGATGGCGGCCACCGTGCAACTTCAAGCCTCCGGAGTGTCCACTAGCAGCCGTGCTTGCTACAGTGGCGAGTGGAGAACAATGGGAGGAGTCAGCGGATCATGCAGCCACGTGCTGCATTGGTGTCGCTGCAATCTCCACGCGGCTGAGGTCGAGGCTACTGTCGATGTCTCCGACAAGCCCAGCAACTACTTTGCCACGCGTGTGAGAGCACTTTACCTCGCAGAAGATGCACACAATCTGACACTCACAACGGCACAGGGCGCGTCATTGCATTGGCATCGTGCGCCTGAATGCGGCTGGAGCTCCCCCTTCCAAACTATTCGTGTCGATGAACTATTCGCCGCCGTAGTGGAGGGGGTGCACAATGTTCCAGCCCAATCGACGGCACAACGCTTGAACAAGGCGAGCATGATCATGCACGCTGTGATCGCGGGGTTCATTGAGCCCGGACTGCCGCGCGAGGGCAGGGACGCGGAGGCGGAGGCGGCGCCGGCGGAGGTTGAGGCGGCCGAGGCGGCCGAGGCGGCGGCAGAGGAGGAGCCCGTCCCAGCGGATGCGGAGATTGACACCGCGGGCGGAGCTTGGACTTCGGTGTGGCAAGTATTGAACCTCGTCTCGCCGCGCATCAGCCAGTGCTTCGTCGCGGCTCTTTCGGCCACTGAGGACTCGGTGATCGAGGAGGCGGGCGAGGCGGGCGAGGAGGGCGAGGAGGGCGAGGCGGCGGCAGAGGAGGCGCCCGCCCCGGCGGACGTTTTCAAGCTTGCCACCGCGCCGACGAGCGAGTAGTCGCAGTGACTTGGTCTTGGATCTCGGTCTCTCCAGGTCGAGCAGGCGCACAAGTGTGCAGTGTCCGGCCCTATGGGCCCGATGTCTAGTCGGAGGGTGTTTATTGGATATTGCGTGTGTACTGCAAGCCGCGGCGCCGGGTGACTTGGATCTTGGTCCCCCCCAAACGAAGAGATCTCGAACAGAGCGAGCATACAGCTCGAACCCAGATCATCATAGCTTCGAGCATCTGTTCGATCTGACTTTTGTGTTTTGACCTCGATCCCCGAGGGGCCTGCGGCTGCGCCTCTCGCAATCCGCGCGCTCGTCACACACAATGACATCTCACGAGTCACGCTCGCCCGCGGTCCTAACCAGGCCGCGGGGGCCCCGGCGCCCAGGGGTCTCAAACCTTTGGCATTCCCCCCTCTTCTTGGTCGTGACGACCATTTAGATTGGTTATCTGCAAGTTCGCGCCAAAGCCTCGCCATACTCGCGCTTGCCCGCAAGATGCGCGAGTTCTCTGGTAGGAAGGACGCTCTCTGAGACTTTTTTTCCTCCGCGGCAACGCGAATGGCGGCAAGGCCTCTTGCGTGCCCGCCCTCGTCACGCCGAAGACCAACCGGCGTCGGACCGCGGTGAGACCGCGCCGCCCTCCGCGCCCGCCCGCGCCCGCAGCGTGAACACATACGCGCGTCCCTCATCGCACGGAAACATACGCGCCAGCCGCGCAGAAGCCTCACATGCAGCACGCATTGGCATGCTCGCGCCCTGGGCCGCCGACGACCCGGTCGGGCGGGTTGCGCGGCCGCCGCACACCACCAGGCAGGCGCACAACCACCCGCAGCGCGCCGCAGCCCACCGCGCAGCCCTGCCAACCAGGCCTGCGCCTCAAAGCCTCACAAACAGGGCGCACAGCAGAGTACAGCACACAGCACACACACCGGCGGCGCGCGCGCAGCACACGCAGACGCACGCGGACCCCACACGCACACGTACACAGCACGCGCGCGTCGCACGCCAGCGCAGCGCCACACACAGAGCACACTTCCCATCAGCAGCAGCAGGCCTGCCACAATCCACACCTCACACACGCGCGCGCACACTCCCCACTGCCGGCGCACGCATTGGGCGTCGCCGAGAGGAACCAACTGGTCTGAAGCTGACTCCTCAAGGCACCAACGAGATGCCTGAGGGAGCGCTTGGCAGGCGCTCCCTCAGGCATCTTGACTCAAGTACAAGTTAGCTCCCCCCAGGCATCAAGCTGGCCCTCCAGACATCAAGCTGGCTCCCTCCAGGCACCAATCGGAATCCCTCCAGGCATCAAGCTGACTCCCCCCAGGCATGAGCTGGCTGCATCTCGCAATATCTCGCTGCACCTCGCCAAATCTCGCCTCATACCGTCTAATCTCGCCTCATCTCGCCTCATCTCGCCTCATCTCGCCTCATCTCGCCTCACCTCGCCTCATCTCGCCTCATCCTCCTCACCTAGGCTACTCAACCGCGGTGGCCGAGATCGACCCGAGATCGACCCGCGAGTTCAACCCGAGATCGACCCAACGCGAGGCCCCTCTGGGGGGGAGATTGACTCAACAAGGGGAACCCCAACCCTAAATTTTCTTCGCCTGCGGCGGGCCATCACTTGGATTCGCTGCTTTCGGATTCATTAGCTCTTTCGCACGCCTTTATCCGTCACTCCCCCGAAGATTGGAGGTGTTGATTTATGCACAAATCTATGTGTTGCGAGCGCTAGATGGCGAAATTTTCTTCGCCTCCGGCGGGGCCGCTCGCCGCGGGGCTAGCGAGGGACTTTTGTCGATGTCGGCTAGAAGTGCTGCACCTTTTTGAGAATTTCACCCGACGGTGCAACGGTTTTTCAAGAAGGAGCAGAAGGAGGTGCAGAAGACGGGGGGGGAGAGCAAGTACGGTGAGATTATCGACGATGCGGCGCTGCTCAAGAAGGCGGCAGAGGCTGAGGCGATCACGCTCATGGCGGCGACGGACGCGGCGGCGGCGGTACGCGCCCCACCCCGGACCGCCCCGCCCGACCGCACCCGACACGCCCCGTCCCGCCGCGCTTCAACCCCACCCGAGCTCCCACCCTACGGGGGATTGTGGCCCCCCCCTCCCCCTCACTCCTTGGGGGGTTCTTCCCCCCCCCCCCCCCCTCCCCCCAGGCCGGACCCCGCGGTCGCCGGGGACGCCGCCGGGGACGCCGCCGGGGACGCCGCCACCGGCGGCGGCGCCGACGAGAGAGTACGGCTGCGCGCTCTGCGGCTCAAAGCTCCACAACCTCACCAAGACGACGAAGGGTGTGAGGTCGGTGACCTGCCCCTACCACGACGACTTCGAGGTCGTGATCGACAAGACGACCAAGGTCAAGTTCGTCCAATTGACGAAGAGTCAGAGGGCCGCAAAGCGGGCGGAGGAGGCGGCGAAGAAGGCGGAGGAGGCGGCGAAGGAGGAGGAGGAGGAGGAGGAGGGAGAGGAGGAGGAGGAGGAATAGGAGGGAGAGCCGTGAGCTGCGCAGTGAGAAGAGCGGCGGCGTAGTAGCGGTCGAGAGAGGAGTTGTGTTGTCTTCACACCGTGTCGGGAGGTGTCCGGCGACGAGGGGTCGCGACACACATCTCGCACGCGAGGTCGAACCATGTCCTCTTCTTCTTATTTCTTCACTTTCCTGAACGCCTTGCCTATCATCATGGTTGCAACTAAAAAGACCTCCAAGCCCTGGGAGCCCTCCCCTACTATTTTACAACAAAGCTCCCTAAAGAGAAAAACGACTTGAGAAAAAAGTCGGGGACGCTACTCAAAAAAATTTGCCTAGCCGCGGCGTGATTCCAAGAAAGACGTTTACGCTACCTCGAGACCTCAGTGTCGGTATGACCGAGACCATTAAAACTCCTGGGCTCTTTATGCCTAGCCCACCGTTCTGCAGAGGTCCTCGCGCCGGGCGTCCTCGCCACACGGCTATCCGTACAGAGGGGAAGTGTGGTATAGAGGGTTACATGGGGGATGCAGACTCGGATGCGTGGCGACGGCGGCATCGTTATCCACCGATGCCGCCGCCCCAGACCACTATTCGCGGGGACCCCGCGCGGAGAGAGAGAATTTTTAGCAATACCAAACAACTCTAACACTCACACGTCATTTGGGGCCTGGAGCCCTGTTCACGCGCGCGCGAGACGTGCGGATGCTTGCGGCGCGTGTAATGAGGGCAACAAGGAGTGAGGCCCGATCGTTTTTCTCCTAGTTAGCCGCCGGCGCTGTTGTTGCATATGATGGTTGGTGGATGAAATGCATCTCGGCTCTCCGTTCTGGCTTCTGGTTCTGCCGCGTTTTGTTGGTGAATGGTGAACATGAATCATGAATGCTCTGCACCGTGGATCCAGGCGGTCTACAAAAAGAGCAACTCTTTTTCTCCCCAGACCCCACCCGCCCCCATGTCTCATGCGTTGACTCCCCTCACGGTACCTCCCGACACCAACCCGGCGCTGACAAACTCCTGCTGCAGCCGCTCCTTGTAGTCCTCGTACGAAGAGTGCCACACCGCCACCGAGCCGGGCTCGCCGTTCGCGCCCTTGTTCACCACCCACAGCTCGTCGGCGACCATCTCGATCAGGCGCTCGTCGTGCGAGACGAAGACGACGCCGCCTATGGACGTGTCCAAACATGTCTTCAACGTGTCCTGGACTTGTGCGAGACAAAGACGCCGCCGCCGTCGAACTGGTTGAGCGCCATTGCGAGCGCCTGCGGTCAACCTTCGCCCCTCAAGCCGGCGGCCCCTCAGTCGCTGGCGAGATCAGGGCGCCATCGCCGCCCTCACTGTCGCAGTGCGGCGCGGCCGTGTCTCAGCCGTGCCTCACTCTCTTCTCTCGGCCGCCGCTCTCGGCCGCCTCTCACCTCAATCGTCTCAAGGTCGAGGTGGTTGGTCGGCTCGTCGAGCAGCAGGATGTGCGGCGAGCGCCAGGCCAGCTCGGCAAACGCGAGGCGCGACTTTTGGCCGCCCGAGAGGTACTTGATTGGGTTGAGCGCGAGGTCGCCGGAGAGGCCGAAGCGGCCGAGATACTTTCGCGCCTGATCAGTTCATGGCGAATGGATGAGCCGGCCGAGAGACTTTCGCGCCTGTCATCACCCTCCGAGACCACTGCGATGAGATCACAAGGGGGGGGGGGGGGGGGACCCGCTCCCGTTGACCCACCTCTCCGTCTCTCTCTCTCTTGAGTGTGTCTGCCGCTGATGTCTCTTCGCCCCCCGCGCCTCCTCGACCGAGACACCCTCCTGCGTGAGCGAGCGCATGTGGTTGACCGAGCTCTTCTCGGGGTCCATCATCTCGATGTGGTGCTGCGTGAACTTGGCGACCACCAGCTTGGCGTGCCTATACGGGTGCGCCACGCGCCACGCGACGGGACGTGACCAGGACGTGTCCTGCGCGCGCGCACCCAGAACCGCTCCTCCTCGTCGGCGAAGGCGAGCCGTCGGCGCGGCGCGCCGTGGCCAAAGCGCGCGATGAAGCCCTTGAGGTGCGCGACGCGCCGCTCGTTCTGCTTCGCCATCGCCGACGAGTGGGCCCGGTTCTCCGCGCGCACGCGCAGGAAAGTGTCGTAGTTGCCGCCGTAGTAGCGCAGCCGCTTGCCGTGGATGAACATGGTGGCGGTCGTGGTCTTGTTGAGGAAGCCGCGGTCGTGCGACACGATGAGGACGGTGCGCTCCCAGTTGGCGAGGAAGAACTCCAGCCATGTGAGCGCGTGAATGTCGAGGTGGTTGGTCGGCTCGTCCAGCAGCAGCAGGTCGGGCTTGAGGAAGAGCGCCTAACCTCGGACAACCTCTGGTGCCTGCGCGTGACATGGCCGAGAGTCGAGAAGCGCCGAGATTCGCCGAGATTTGCCGAGATTCGCCGAGATTCGGCGGCGGGAGAGCGCAAGCGCCTGCGCGAGCACGATCCGCATCCTCCATCCGCCCGAGTGCGCGCGCCTGTTCACAGCCAGAGGACGTGCGAAGAGGCGCTGTCCACAAGTGTGGCATCCCCCATTCCGCCCGAGCGCGCGCGTCGGCATCTGCATCATCTCGTGGTCAAAGCCGAGGCCAGAGAGCAGCCTACAGCGAATGCCAACCCCTCGCGCACTCTCCCACAGGCGCACTCGCAGCAGGCGCGGTCCGCGGAACGCTCACTGACCGACTGCACGAGAGTCAGGGCGTGATCACATCTCCCCACATCTCCCCACATCTCCCCATATCTCCCCCTAGGCGTGATCACGGTCTCGTGGCCGTGTCTTCGGAGCATCGGGGGAGTACGAGGTCCAAGAGACAGCCGGATGCGTGTCCTCTCCCGCGCTAGTCGGGACCCACGACCCATCACGTGTTCCCCATCTAGGGAGATATGGGGAGATGTGGGGAGATATGGGGAGATATGGGGAGATATGGGGAGATCTTCCCCATCTAGGGAGAGATATGGGGAGATGTGGGGAGATGTGGGGAGATAGCGCATCTAGGGAGAGCAGCTGCGCCGCGCGACTCTCGGCGTGGTCCGAGTCGACCTCTTCGAGCCGCTCGTAGACTTCGTTGAGGGAGATGCCCAGCTCGGCCTCGAGCGAGTCGTCGCCGTCGAGCAGCGCCTGCGGCCATGTCTGCGACATCTCGTGGCCGTGTCGCGCACGTGCCTCACAGTCGGGCTCGCCGAGCAGTGAGCGAGGTGAGTGAGTGAGTGAGTGAGTGAGTGAGTGAGTGAGTGAGATGACGTGACGTGAGGTGAGGGCGTGAGGTGAGGTGCGGTGCGCCTGCTCGACCTTGAGCAGCCACTCCCTCTCCCCGTCCGCCTGGGGGGAGACATGGGGAGCCATGGAGGGGGAGATCTGGCTTCAACCTCCCCCTCCCCGTCCGCCTGCACGATGGTCTCGATCGCGCTGCGCTCGTCGCCTGCGATCTCCTGCGAGATATGGGGAGATATGGGGGAGATATGGGCCTGCTCGACGTGCACGACGTTGAGAGAGAGAGAGAGAGAGAGAGAGAGAGAGAGAGAGAGAGAGAGAGAGAGCGAGCGAGCGAGCGAGAGAGAGAGAGAGAGAGAGAGAGAGAGAGAGAGAGAGAGAGAGAGAGGTCTCCTGCTCGACGTGCACGACGTTGAGGAAGGAGGGGAGCCGGATGAGGCCCTCCGAGAGCTGGCGCAGCAGCGTCGTCTTTCCGACGCCGTTGCGGCCGACGAGGCCGTACTTGACGCCTAGCACGAGGAGGAGGACGATGCTGCCGACCGGCCGCACTCGACGCCGTTGCGGCCGTACTTGGCGCCGTAGTTGAGGGCGAGCACCGCGCGGTCGAGCAGCTCCTGCTTGCCGGCGCACATGCGGATGTCGCCTGCGAGTATACGCCGGGGACTCGTGTTTGCCCTTCTTGGTATTCACGCCTTGTCGGCAGCCGCGCAGGGCCCCCCCACCGCACCCGTCCACACCGCGGGTCCCCAAAGGGCGAAGGGACTCGTGGCGTGTGACCGTCTCTGTGCGAGTTCGGCCCGGGGTTGTGCGTCTCTGTGGAGGGAAACGTGCGGGGAAGGTGGCAGGAGACGGCGGGAGACGGCGAGGGATGGCGACGGTGAGATCGGAGGAGATGCGGCGAGGGAGAGGACCAGACCGATCCGGATGTCCATCGACATGTTCTTCCGCTTCGTCGCGTGCTTGCCCGAGCGCTGGAAGAAGGGCAGGTCGTCGCACCTATTCACAGCTAGAGGTGTGAAGAGACGCTGTTCACAGCCCGAGCGCTGGAAGAAGGGCAGGTCGTCGCACCTATTCACAGCTAGAGGTGTGAAGAGACGCTGTTCACAGCACCGCTGGAAGAAGGGCAGGTCGTCGCACCTATTCACAGCTAGAGGTGTGAAGAGACGCTGTTCACAGCACCGCTGGAAGAAGGGCAGGTCGTCGCACCTATTCACAGCTAGAGGTGTGAAGAGACGCTGTTCACAGCCCGAGCGCTGGAAGAAGGGCAGGTCGTCGCACCTATTCACAGCTAGAGGTGTGAAGAGACGCTGTTCACAGCACCGCTGGAAGAAGGGCAGGTCGTCGCACCTATTCACAGCTAGAGGTGTGAAGAGACGCTGTTCACAGCACCGCTGGAAGAAGGGCAGGTCGTCGCACCTATTCACAGCTAGAGGTGTGAAGAGACGCTGTTCACAGCACCGCTGGAAGAAGGGCAGGTCGTCGCACCTATTCACAGCTAGAGGTGTGAAGAGACGCTGTTCACAGCCCGACCGCTGGAAGAAGGGCAGGTCGTCGCACCTATTCACAGCTAGAGGTGTGAAGAGACGCTGTTCACAGCACGCTGGAAGAAGGGCAGGTCGTCGCACCTATTCACAGCTAGAGGTGTGAAGAGACGCTGTTCACACCTTACCGCTGGAAGAAGGGCAGGTCGTCGCACGCGCACAGCACGCCCCCCGCCTCTTTGAGCGACAGCGCCGCCATCCTCGCCGCCGCCGCCGCCGCCTTGTCCTCCTTGCTAGGCTTTGCCTTGCCCGCTCGCTTCACCTTGGCCTTGCCAGCCGCCCTGGCAGGCGCCACCGCCGCTTCGCTCTCCGTCTCGCCGCCCTCGCCGCCCTCGCCGCCACCACCGTCGCCGCCGCCACCGCCGCCGACCTCACCGCTGTCGCCGCCACCGACGTCGGCGTCGGCAGCGTCGGCGCCGCCTCTATCCGCGCTCGCGCCCTCGCCGCCACCCTGCTTGAGCTTGATCGCGGCCTTCAACGCCTTGACCCTCGCCACGCAGTCCGCCCTCGAGCGGCCGACTGCGGCGGCGATCGCCTGCGCGCGGCGCGGACACAGAGATGAAGAGATCCGCGCGGACAGCGGACGGCGACGGCGTTCGCCCTCCCGTCACAACTCTGCTCCCTCTTCTTGACTCCCGCGGCTGCACCTCGGCTGCGCCTCGGCTGCACCTTCTGCACTTGTCGTCGTGCGACTCCTTCTGTGGTCCTCCCTCTGGTGGGCTCCGTCTCGGATCCTTCTGGGCTCCCGCTGGGCTCCCTCTCGGCTAGACTTGGACCTCCCACCGCTCCTCCTTTGGCATGCTCGACGGGTGAGCCCGCATCGCCTCCTCGAGCGCCGCCTGCTCCTGCTCGCTCCACCCTCCCTCCTCCTCCTCCTCGCCCTCCTCCTCCTCCCGCTGCCCGCTCGACCGCTCGCCGCTAGCCCGCTCATCCTCCTTCTCCGCCTAGGGGAAGCGGCGGCGAGGGCGTGGCGGCGGCGAGGGCAGCGGCGGCGAGGGCGTGGCGGCGGCGAGGGCAGCGGTTGCGAGAGAGGCGGCAGCGAGGGTCGTGTGCGGAAGGTGGTGAGGCGCCTTGCGTGCCGCTCTTCGCTCGGCGAGCTCGGCGCGCTTGGCGGCCATCGCCGCCTTCTTCTCTTCCTTGGTCAACTTCTTCTCGAACACCTTCTCCTCTCCCTTCTGCAGCGCGCCGCCGAGGTCCACGCCCATGCCGCGCCTCAGGATCCTCTCTCGCTCCTCCTCGGTCGTCTCGGACTGGAACTCCTTGAGCGCCTGCGCCTTGAGCCGCTTCGCCTCGTTCTTGCCAACCTTGTTCGACATGGCGGTACGGCTGTGAGAGTCTCGTGGTTCGACACGCAACTGAAGACGTACCCGGTACGACTGTAGGCCAGCACTCGATGTACTCAGTGCTCTTCGGCCGTATCCTGTTCGTGGCCAGGTAGCTGTGAAGAGGATGCGAACCCATCGTCCGATATTGCTTCTTGCTTTTGGTATAGGGCTGAAATTCTTCGGCAAATGGCACACATGGAGTCGGGGCCGAGCGGCTGCTGGAGTAGGTGGAGGTCTCGTGGTTGGGCATGTGTGGACCTCACTCTTCAGGAGGCAGAGAGGGGTTGGTGGCGGGTTCTTTTCGCGAGAGAGCGGGAGCGTGAGCACGCGAGGCGTGGCGAGGACGCCTGAGGGGGACTGCCCGCAGGACAGCGGCGTCGCGTGTCCATGATCGCGGCGGCTCAGACTCGCTTTTGCCCCAGGGCAAAGGTGGACACGTCCTGTGGTCGCAGGGATATAGTGTGAATGCCCGGGAACAGCCCCTCCTGGCCCGAGTGCGGGGCGCGAGGGACAAACAAATATTCAGAGGGCATGAAAGTTGTCAAGCTGCTTGATCAGGCCAGTGAAGATCTGATGGCCCGCGAGGCAGCCTTCGTGAGCAGGTCGGCGAGCATCACGACGCCGGGGAGGTGTTCGACAGAGATAACGCCACGGTTGACGAGATCGCGAAGGAACTCGGCGGCGCGCAAGATGTGCTTGGTCTTCTTGAAGGCAACAGGATCGAAGGCCATGCCGACGGCGGATTTGCTGTCGCAGTTGATGATGCTGGCGCCGTCGATGGAAAATCCATAGGTCGATCAGTAGCTCACGGATGAAAATCACCTCCTTGGCGGCTAGCATGGCGCCAAAGAACTCTGCCTCGGCGCTAGACAGCGTGACGGATCGCTGCATTTTGGAGAACCAGTGGAAGAGGCATCCGTAGAAGAAGAACATGCCACCGGAGCAAGAGAATTTCGTCGCCCAGTTTGAATCGACGTAGCTCTCAAGGTTGCGGTCGGGGTTCGGCTGCATGACGAGGGCGCGGTCAGCTGTGTCGCGCACGTAGATAAGCACCCGGATGGCGGCTTTAAAATGCGACGGGCCAGGGTTGGTCATGAAGCGAGCGTCTCCTTCCAGCCGCGGCGCCACGCGCGGCACGTGCCCTTGACGGCGTGCTCCTTGGTCGGCAGCTGGCACGTGGGTGATTTGTGTATCGCGCGCCTTGCGGGGGGCGCACCATGGGGCGACGTGCCCGCCCTCCATTGGTTGTACAGAAGGTCCCCGGCCCTGGATGTGAGGTTGATGACTGCACTCCAAGTGCTCCAGTGTTCGAGCTACAGAAAGACCGCACGGGGGCGGGGACCTTCGTTTTTACAAGGCGCGCGATACACTTTTACCCATCTCTCCTAGTCGACACGGGACTGGCGCGCGCACTGGCACTGAATGTCGATCTCGCTCTCGTGTGGGTGTGTGCGCGACGCTTGTTCCTTGTACTTCGTCTCCACTTAAATAAAAGGGTTGCAGTTTCTTTTTGATCTAGAACTTCATGCCAAACGCTCGCTCAAAGTCGCGCGCCCACGCGCAGACTACCGCGTATTGGCGCGCGCTCAGGCTGGCAGGAATGCCGGCGCTGCACCTGCGCCCTGCCTCTGCGCCTGCCACCTCTGCCGCTGGCCCTGCCTCCTCTGCCACCTCCTCTAGGTTCTCCGCCTCTGCCACCTCCTCTGCCACCTCCTCTGCTGTCTCCTCCTCTGTCGCCTCTGCCGCCTCCGCCTCTGCCACCTCCGCCGCTACCGCCGCCTCTGCCGCCTCCACCTCTGCCGCCTCCACCTCTGCCGCCTCCGCGCCTGCCGCCGCCGCCTCTGCCTCCGCCTCTGCCTCCTCCTCTGCCTCCTCCTCTGCAGCCTCCTCTGCCGCCGCCTCTGCCGCCACCTCTGCCGCCACCTCTGCCGCCTCCGCACCTGCTGCCACCGCCTCTGCCGCCGTCCCCCACTCCGCTGGGGCGAGTGCCAGGAGAGCCGCAAGGAGAGACCTCACGGCGCGCGCGTTCTCGGGCAGCGCCGCCGCCCCTTCGCAGCCGCGCCGCCCCCCCTCCCAGTCGAGCGCCTTTGCGAGACGTCGCAGCTGGCACGGCCGGCCATACGACAGCGGGCCGGTCTGGAGCGCCTGTTCACAGCGACGTGCTGTGAAGAGACGCTGTTCACAGCGCGACAGCGGGGGGGCAGTCGGAAGCGCCTGCGGCGCAAGCCCGAATGTAAGGATGAAGAGTCAACAGCAACACTTAATCATTAATCATTAATCATTAATAATTAATAACTCGCGCCTGCTGCGCAAGCCCAAACACCCACAACCGGCCACCGCCCAACTCTCCTCCCGCCGCCGCCACCGTCGCCTCCGCCTCCACCGCCTCCGCTGCCACCGCCTCCGCCTCCACCGTCTCAGCTGCCGCCTCCTCCACCGCCTCCGCCGCCGCCTCCGCCGCCGCCGCCGCCACCTCCGCCTCCTCCGCCATCGCTACCGCCTCCTCCTCCGCTGCCACCTCCGCCTCCGCCGCCGCCGCCGCCTCCTCCGCCGCCACCTCATACAGGAGCTGCGCGCACGCATCGAGGCACTCCGCCCAGCCTCGTTGCGGGCGCCCTTTGCCGCCGCCGCCCCCGCTGTCTCTGCCCCGCCTGCTGCCGTTGCCGCCTCTGCAGCCTCCGCCTCCGCTGCCGCTTTTGGCGGCTGTTGTGCTGGCGCCACCGGCGCTGCCGCTGAGCTCTGTGCGGAGAGCCCTGCCGCGGCGTGCAAGCTCCGCTGCGCGCGTCGCTCGCGCCGTCAAAGGCTGAGCCTCGTCCGCCTCCCCTGCCGCCATCGCCACCGCCGCCGTCGCCGCTGTTGTCGCCGCCGCCGCGGCGCGACCGGGCACAAAGCCAGCGCAGAGCTGCCGATCGATGGAGAGGCGCAGCCGCACGAGCACAGTGCCCGAACGGCTTTTACGGTGCGGGTGGCACCGGCACTGAACCACCTTTGGGGCGCGAGCGATCTCTGCAGCGCCGGCAAGGCACGCTGCGGCTTCCCGATCCTGCGCGCGTTGGGCTAGAAGCGATGCCCTCTTCTGCTTATGACTACGATGCGCGGAGGTCGGGCCGCGCTGTCGGCCGGTGCCAGCGGAGCGGGTCATATTCGCAGGCGACTGCAGCAGCGCGCCGCCCTGGAAGGACACTACTAATCGGAAGTTGAGATGAGCCGAGATGCGCCGAGATGCGTTGTGTGCGCCAACCTGCTGAGTCGCCCGGGGCTGCTTGCAGCACCATGGCGAGGGCGCTAAGAGGTTCCTCTTTTCCGCGCCCCCCCCGCAAGGCGCGCGATACACACACTGAGCCGTTTTGCTGCTGGCCATCCGGCTTACGAGGTGCTCGTAACACGGCTCGTAATTGGGCAGGCGCAGCAGCGTACTTTTGATTCGTGTTCGTTGTGTGTTTTTCTATGAAATGAACTCGGGGGCACGGGACGCGGCACAAACGGGGCACAAACGCCAGGCTACAAAGACGGGGAGGCACGTAGTGACGCAGGGGAGTCTAGGCGACGGCGGCGTCCTCCGACGCCGCGGCGAGCCTGAGCTCGGTCGCAATCTCTTCCGCCGCCGCGAGCTGCAGCGCGACTGACATGCGCTGGGCCTGCAGCAAAAGCCACGACCGCGTCGACCAGCTCGCCTCGTCCTCGTGCTGCCGCTTCGAGAGCTTGTTGCGCACCTTGTCCTTCATCTGGTAGAACAGCCGTTTGACCGCGTTGCACCACCCGCCGAAGGTTTCAAACAGGTACATCTGCACGTCGGTGTCCGAGCGCGAGAGGGCGTGCGCGTAGTCCGCCTTCTTGTACGCCACATAGCCGCCGCCGTCGCTCGGCCTGAAGTCGCCGTCCCCTAGGGCATCATGTTGGCATGTGAAAAGTTTTTCACACAACGCTTTATTTGGTGGTCTATGCTGAAATAAAGATAAAGAAATAACCCACGCCGCACAACAAAGAGGCTCCCATGCCAAAATCAGAGTCGAAGCAGCAGCGGTGGCCTATCAATCAAATGCCGAACAAGTCAAAATGGCTAAATGAGGTGAATGTATGAGGCATTTGTATACGGTGGGGTATGAGGTCCTCGTTGCGCTTCTCGATGCCCAGAAGCTGGAGGTCGCCCATGAAGTCGGCGATGGAGGGGTGCACCGTCGCGTCGTTGAGCATGCAGACGAGCTGCCAGAGCGTCTCCTTGTACTCGGGCCCGTGGAAGTAGAGGAACTGCATCTCCTCCGCCGAGACCTTGTCGACGCCCATCGCGCGCATCTTGGAGACGCAATGGAAGACCTCGTGGAAGTGGTCCTTGGTCACCGTGGCGCGCCGGCGGTAGTCACGCATCCGCGCCGCCGGCTCGTCCGCCATCTCCGCCTCGTCGAACGGCGTGGCCTCCGGGTGCAGGCTGCGCAGGTTCTGGCGCACGTCCGGCTCGGAGACGTCGGCGATGGGGCTGGCCGTGAAGCGCGCGTTGGCCTTGGAGAGGTAGCCGGCGTTGACGAGCCGCAGGACGTCGCGGAGGAGCTTCTCGTTGCGCCGCGCCTCCTCCGCCTCCTCCTTGCGCGCGCGCGCCTCCGCCTCCGTGTCGAGCGACGCGCTCGGCCGGCGCTCGCAGTCGGGGCAGCCCTGGGCGCAGCCCGTGCACGGCTCCGGCGGCCGGCCCTCCTCCCGGCGCTCCTCCGCCGACAGCCCGCGAATGCGCTCGCGCTCCTCCTCGGCCTTGACGGCGCCTTCCCGCCTCTCGCGGGCCGCCCGCTCGGCCGCCGCCGCCTCGGCGACCATCTGCTGCCAGAGGGTCTGGAGATGGCCCTGCATCACCAGGCGGATGCGGCCGAGGACCTCGACGTTGCTCGGCGGCTTGCGGCGCCCCGACAGCCTCCCGAGCGTCACCGTCTTGGCGATGGCGACAAACTTGAAGCCGCGCGAGACGTTGGGCGTCAGCTTGTCGAGCAGCGCGCGCCGGTAGCCGGAGTGGATCATGTTGTAGTACTCGCGCTCGATCGCCGAACCCTTGTCCGGCGTGCGGGCGATGATGGCCTCGAGGCCGTGGATCACGTCCGGGCTGAGCGAGTCGAGCCACCCGAGGTCGCCCGAGGCGCCCACCTCGGCGCCCACGTTGCGCGGCTTGAGGCCGGCGGCGCGCGGGTCGAGGTCCACGCCGAAGGGGGACGGAGCCGAGGGCGGGCGAGGAGGGGCGCCCTGCGCCCTGCGGGTTGCGACCTGGGCGCGGTACGTGCGCAGGCCCGCCGCGACCTGGCCGGGGAAAGGCCTGTCGTGGTAGTAGACGGTGTTGAAGAAGTGCGCGGGGGAGCCCACCTCGGCCGTCTGCCGCAGCCGCCGGAGGAAGCCGCCTCGCCCGCCGTCCGCCTCGGCCGGGCCCCACCTCTTGTGGCGCTGGTCCCCGTTGGCGAGGTGGGCCCCCATCGACGATCTGCTGCCGACGATCGCGAGGTACCTGCCGCAGCAGCCTACCTGGCAGGGGTAGATGCCCGCGTCGACGAGCTGCGCGAGCGAGAAGTTCGTGCCGAGCTCGTGCTGGCGCCCGCGCGCCGACTCGTTCGTGACGTGCTCAGCGAGGGCGGAGAAGGCCCGCTTGCAGCTCGCCGCGCCGAAGCCGTGGCCAGGCTGGGCGTGCTCACAGCCTCCGCAGGGGCAGAGCACCTCCGGCACCGGCTCAATGCCGTCGCCACCGCCTCCACCTCCGCCGCCACCACCTCCGCCGCCGCCGCCGCCGCCGCCGCCGCCGTCGCCGTCGCCGCCGTTGCCGCCGCTGTCGCCGCCGCCGCCGCCGCCGCCGCCGCCGCCGCCGCCGCCGCCGCCGCCGCCGCCGCCGCCGCCGCCGCCGCCGCCGCCGCCGCCGCCGCCGCCGTCGCCGTCGCCGCCGCCGCCGCCGCCGCCGCCGCCGCCGCCGTCGCTGCCACCGTCGCCGTCGCCGCCGCTGCGGCCGTCGCCGCCTCCGCCGCTCTCGCTGCCGCCTCCGCCGCCGCCCTGGCGGAGGCCGCCCGCGCCGCCTCGGCCGCCGCCGGCTCCGCCGCGTTTGTTGTGGCGGCGGCGCTTGCCCCCCCTCCCCCCGCCGGCGCCCTCAGCAGGCCCGCCGCCGGCCGCTGCAGCCTCCTCGGCCGTCTTGTCGGCGCCGTCGTCGTGGCAGACGTCGCAGGCGGGCGAGGCGTCGGCGCCAGCCGGGCAGCATGCGCAGCCCCCGCCGAACGCCTTGAGAGGCGAGCCGGCGCCGGAGAGCGCCGGCCGGACACCGGTCAGGAGGCCGGCTGGCGCGCCGCCGCAGCCCTCGTCGAGCTCCATCGCCTCCGGTGCTGCACCCTCCGGGTCCGCCAGCGCCGCGAACCGCCCAGAGGCCGCGTGCGGGGGGGGCGGGGGGACGCCGGGCTCGGTCGACCCGGTCGACCCGACCGACTCGCCCGCCTCGGTCGCTCCGCCGGCCCCGCCCGCCGGGGCCGCCTCGCGCGCAAGGCGCGCCTCGTTAGCCCCGCCGGCCTCGCTCGGGTCGCCAGCCACGCCCGCCTCGCTAGCCTCGCCGGCCTCGCTCGCGTCGCCAACCTCGCCCGCCTCGCCCGCCTCGCTAGCCTGGCCGGCCTCGCTCGCCGCGCTCGACCCGCTCGGCCCGCTCAGCTCGCCGCCCCCGCCCGCCGCGGTCGCCGGCGCGCCGCCAGCCGCCTCGCCCTCGGCCAGCAGCTCGCCCGCCCGCGCGTACACCGCCTTGATGAGGGCGGGGACGTGGCACGCGCGGTGCGGATCGTCCGCCGTCGGCCGGCAGGATTTCGAGCAGCACAGCTGGCACTTGAAGGTGGGGTCGAAGGCGACTCGTCGAGCCGTGTTGTCGATGTGCTTGCGCTGCCGCGCCAGGAACGCCGCCGCCGCCTTCTGAGCCGCCGGACCGACGTCGGACAGGTTGCCGACGACGGAGCCGTGCAGGCCGCCGAACTGGGTGGCGGAATCGAGGCCGTGGTCCGCTGCGACCTCGCGGAGGTCATCCAGCGTCGCGCAGCGGCGGCAGAGGCTCGCCGAGTAGGCGTCAACGACCTTGCCGCGCAAGCTCTCGGTGTTGCCTCGCCGGCCCATCGGGAACATGTTGCAGAACGGGTGCGGCCGCGTCACGTTCTGCTGCTTGAAGCCAGCGCGCGCCTCGCCGCCCTGGAAGCCAGCGATGAGCTCGCCCGCACAGCGAGAGGGTGGCGGGCTGGCGGTGGCAGTGGCCACCGCTGCCAAAGCCTCCGCCGCCGCCGCACGCTCCCGGCGCCACCCGTCCACCGCGGACTGGAGGCGCCGCTGCGTCGCGGCCACCAAACTGCCGGCCTGGGTGGCCGCGCTCTGCGCCGGGCCGCTGCCCGCCTCGGTCGCCTGGCTGAGAGCGGCGGCGGCCGACGCCGCCGCCGCGGCCAGCGCCTGCCCGGCCTCCGCGCACGCCACCGCCTCGGGGGGCTCCTCCTCGATGACGAGCGCGCTCAGCGAGTGCAGGCGCCCCGCCGCCTCGTTCGCCGCGGCTGCAGCCGCCATGGCCGCCGCGAGCGCCGCGTCAGCTGCTGTCGCTGCTGCCGACGCTGCTGCCACCGCCGCCTCGCGACGCGCCGCCCGCTCGGTGACGCTCGCGTGCACCCTCCCCTGCGCTTGCGAGACAGCGTCAACTATCAAGCCGGCCCGCCGCGTCGCCTCCCACGCCTCCGCCTCCCCCGCCTGGCGCTGGGCCGAGAGAGCCCTCGCCGCCGCCGCATGCAGCGCGTCCCACGCCTCTGTCGGGTCCGCGTTAGGCGTCGCCAGCAGGCGCTCCGCCGTCGCGATGGCGCCAGCCGCCTCCGCCGCTGCGCCCTCCACCGACTGCGCCGCCGCAGCCTGCGCCGCCGCCTCCGCCGGGTGTTTTGTTGCTTTGAATGGGTTCGAAGAGGCTATCCCTTACTTAAAACCCCATTTTGCTGCGCCGGGTCGTATCCAGGCTAGTCACTAGTTTACCAGCTTCGAGCCGTAGGTCCTACGAGGTCGGATCTGATGCTCGCACTTTCACGCCGAGGGGCTAGCGAGCCCCATCCCGCTCGTATTCACAGCATTATTGCGAGTTTGGAACCCGCCTTCCCACTCCCCGGCCCCTTTCCGCCAGGGTTTCGCCAAGAACAAGCGCACCGCCTTCAGTCGTACGATGTGGCCAACACTGCTGTTCGCGGCTCCGTGTCTTGGCTCGCCCATGGATGGTTTTCTCCGGCCCGTGTTTGGCTCCGCCTGCCTCCCGCTCGACGTGCGCTCGTTTCTCACGAGTGACATCCGAGAGGCGGTGACGCAGCAGTGCGCCTCGCTCGTCGAGGGCCGCGGCACGCGCGTCTGCTCCGCCGAGTGCCGCGACGCCGTCCTCGCGTTCCGCGGGCACCGCTGCTACTCCCACCTCTCCCAGTCGCAGAGGCGTCGCAGCCGCCTCGCGCACCCGCGCCGCATGCGCACCGCGCCCTGTCGCCACGCCGCGCCTCGAATCCGCGCCCAATAGGCTGCAGCCTCGCACCGCGGCGCCGCTTCACCCGCGCGCTGCAAACTCAAAGACGCTGGCGGCGCTGCAAGGGAGCGTAGATGCGCGATGCGGATTTATATTCCGACCAGCCCTCTAGTCTGTATTCGGTCTTGTTCAGCCGTGTTCAGCTGTGTTCAGCTGTGTTCAGCTGTGTTCAGCTGTGTTCAGCTGTGTTCAGCTGTGTTCCGTGCGTATTCGGCCGTATCCGCAGCCCTCGCATTCACTCCATGCTCCGAGTCGACCGTACGATCCCGTCTTCCCGCCCTGACCTTGGCGTATTCGTGACGCAGGCAGGGGATCTGGTACGGTCTATACCCTGCGAGCGGGATCGACCTTGTCGAGGCGAGCGCGCACACACACACACACGCGCGCACACACACACGCACACACACACGCACACACACACGCGCGCGCACACACACACACACACACACACACACACACACACACGCACACACACACACGCACACACACGCACGCACTCACACACTCACTGGGCCTTGCACATTCAATGCTGTGGGGCTCCTGTCAACCTTGGCGTGAGTCGCGACGGCTGCCCATTCCCACCACCGAAGGTGTGCAGAAGGTGACCTTCTCTTGCCCTACCTAAGGCGAGGCTCGACGCAGCCGCCGGCACGCTCTCCGCGACCAAGCTGACCGGGCGCAACTCTGTGCGAGCGGGCCGCGTCTATGACACGTCCGGGACGGTGTCCGAGACACGTCTGTAGGAACGAGTTTGTGCGAGCCGGCCGCGTGAGCTGGGAGGTGGGTCCGGGCGGCGGCTGCAAGATGGCGCGGATGCGCGCCGCGCGGGAGGAGGCTGTCCACTCGCCGTCTCCGTGACGTCTTGTGGCGCGTGCGATAGGTCTCGTCGATGTGGCAAAACGCGTACACGCCGCGCTGGGACGGGTGCGCGGTGGAGGTGGGCGCCTAGCGCAGCGCCTCGGAACTCACCCATTTGGCTCGCCGACAAGCCTCCGCGCCCCCACACCGTTGCGAGAAGATTGGCCCAGGCGTGAGGGGATGGGCACAGAAGCGCGCGTTCCAGTCTGCACTCGAAGAGGGACAGCGTATTCAACGGCATGCATTGGGCAGCCGCATTCCGCGGTAGATCTATTCGTAGCCCGCGCATGCACGCGATGCTGCGAGGCACATGTTCTCGACTCGGTGTTCCCGCCCTGACGTTGGTGTGTTCCATGGCGTGGGTGGCCGCCGCGGACACGTCCACCGCCCACTCAGAACGCCTTCTTCTCTCTCGGCTCACGGGCTTCTTCCTTGTGTAGGTTGCCGACGCGGACCACATGTCCATCACTCTGCACACGGGCGACGAGGGCGAGCAGAAGCTGGCGTTCGTGCGCGCAGTGCTGCCCGAGCTGCTTCGGTGGGCCTGCTCGCCACGCATGAGCGTGTCGCTTGTCTGTCTCGCTTGTCACTCTGCGTGCCGCGGCGCGCTTGCGCCGTCTGGGTGCAGAGATGCGAGGGATCGTTTGCGCCCTCGCCCGGCCACGTCGCGTGTGTGGGGGGAGGGGGCGCTCATACCCCCCCCCCCCTTTCGCTCAGGTGGGACAACCCGTCTTCGCCGTCGCACGGCTTCCACAGAGCGATGGCGATCTGCGGCGTCGACCCCGAGGACGCATCCACTTCGGCCGTCGAGGCGCTGCTCGAGGCGCCGCGCCACCGCGAGGCTGGAGGCGGCTGGAGGAGGCGCGTTCACACCCGGTGCGCGTGCGAGCAGGTGCTGCATCACACGCAGGGCACCGTGTTGCTGGACCAGCTGCTGCTGCTCGCGCCGCTCCTCCTCCTCGGCAGCTGGCAGGCGGGCGGCGGCCACGGCTCCGCCACGCTGCTGCTCGGAGGCGCAGTTCTGCTCGTCCTCTTCGTCCGCCTCACCTACCTTGGCGTCTTGCAGTGAGCGGCCGATTCTCGGGCGAGAGCTCGGCGCGTGCAAATTAAGTGGCGTGAGTCGGACTGAGGTGAGCTGGCTCGCGGCGTGAGCGGTGGATCGTGGATCTGGATGCCCCCCGTTAATAAATCGGCGCGCTCGTGTTTCCCCCTCAGACTAGGGTGTAGGGGGCACGCCGCATCGGCATGATTTTTGTTTGGGTCGTCACAACGCGTCACAGCGTAACACGACGAGAGCGAGAACGTGGATAAAAAAGACTTCACGAAGAAAAGAAATCGCGGGCACGTGTCCGCTCGAAGGTAAGGTAAGGTAAGGTAAGGTAAACTTCTCCACACACACGAGGTGGTGGGGCAAGGGGGGGCAACCCTCGCGTCTCCACGTCTGACGACAGGAGCCCCACGGCATTCAAAGTGCAAGGCCCAGTGCGCGTGGGTGAGCGGTGTGTGTGTGTGTGTGTGTGTGTGTGTGTGTGTGTGTGTGTGTGTGTGTGTGTGTGTGTGTGTGTGTGTGTGTCTCATGTCACTGCATCCTCCGCCGGTTCCTCCCGTCGCCTCTTCTTTGTTCGAATGTTTTTCAATCCATCCTTCACGAAGCCCTCCCATGTAGCTAGCGTTCTTGGCGAGTGTCTCGAAGTTGCCAGCAGGCGCTGTCTGCTCGCGGTCTGTGCGGGCCGCTCGTCCTCCTCGCCCTTCTTTCGTCCTCCCGTCCCTCCCCTCCACCATGGCCTTCTCGGCACTTCTTTCTCCATCCGCCTCGCCCTGCCTTTTCGCATCGTGCCGTTCGCCCTCCATTCGGTGACCTCCATGGCTGTCCGCCCCTTTTTGGGTGGCGCTCTCGATACGGTTGCGTCAACCTCGACGTCGCTGTCGCCCTCCCCGTCCCCGCCGGCGTCCGTGCCTCGGTTCGCGTCATCGGTAGCGTCTCCGTTGTTCCCTCGTGCCCCGCCGTCGCCCTCTCTGCTCGGGCCGTTAGCGATTTCGCTCCTCCTGCGTGTCGCCCCTCCGTCCCCTCCCCTTTCTTCGTCGTCATCGTCGCTGTCGCGAAAGCCCTCCGGTCCCTCGATTCCCTCGCCTATCCCCTCCGCTGCGTCGTCCCAGTTTATATCCTCATCCTCTGCGCACGTCGCGTTGGCTTCCTCTCTCCCCCTTTCCTCCCTGCCCCTCTCGCTGTCTGGTGTTAATGGACCCCCTTCCTCTCCCTCGCCACCGTCACCGTCTCCATCCCCGTCGCTACCGCCCTCCATGCCCGCCGCCCTTTGTTTCACACTCGTCTCTGCCATGTCCGCCGTCGCCGCCGTCCTGTCTGCTGCGCTCTGTGCTCCGTGGTACAGTCGCTTATTGTTGCTCAGGATTAGCTCACGCACCAGGACAGCCTCCTGCTCGTTATTTTGGCTTGCCGATATGCATCCAAAGTTCCACGCTAGCTCCTCCTTCGTCACGTCTATCTTTTTGCAGTATCTCGCGAATGCCGTCCGCGCTTGCTGGGGTGTTATTGCGTTCGGATCCGCCCTGGTCCCCGCCCTGTATCCCATCTCCTTGCGGTGGCTCCTGTATGAGTCCCCATATGACCATGTGATTTCTTGGCCTTCCTTGACTCCCCTCTCTGCAAACAGGACCATCACCTGCGCAGCTGCCTTGCCTAATTGTATCTCCTCGTAGCGTACGAAGTGCGTCGCCCTCGTGCCTCGTTTCGGCTCATTCGATGCTGCAGGCCAGTCGAAGTTACACCGCGCCGCGACGCTGTCAAAGTCGTCCCCGCTCTCGTCGTCACTTCCATCCAGCTGCGTCCCCCCTGCTGCCGTGTGTCGTGATAGTTCGTCTGGTACTGTCTCTGGTGGCTGCGCCGTTCCTGTCCGGAAGCGCTCGAACCCGTCGATGGAGCTCGATCTAACCACCTCATCAACACAGTAGTAAAACACGACGGGGACGGCGCGACGAGGCGAGTCGTGTAAGGAACGAAAACACAATCACAACACAGAGCTGCAGAGCAGCAGTTGCCAGTTGCAGTGCTGGTACGTGCTGGCGCTGACCGTTGCTGCAGCAGCTTGCGCAGTCCGGCTCAGTCCGGTGTTCGCCCAAGAGACGAAGAGACAGCTCTCAAGCGCAGGTCGTGCGCCACCCGAGGCGAGTGGCGGGCATCGACCACAGTGCAAGGCAGGGCGGGCACATCAAAGCTTCTGCGCCGCATTCCGCATGTTGAAGCTCGCCTCCAGCGCCCCCATGTCCTCGACGAGGATCTGCGGGCCGGTGCGCTCGACCTCGAGATCCTTGGAGAGAGTGATGTGGTCGTTGTGCGCATCTGTGAGAGCAAAAGGGGCGTAGTCGCACCCGCACCTCAAAAGCGTATCTCCCCCGCACCGATGCTCTTCGCAATGCGCCCCGCCTCGAAGCTCCCCCAGCGCGTGGGCATTGCTCGCGCTGTTCGCGTGCTCTCAACCAGCGCGTGCCCTGTTCCCAGCTGTGTCGGAGTCTCCCCCCGCGGCGACATCACCTCGGAGGACGTCGTCGCGGCGCAGGCGGCGTGGTCCAATGCCATCACCGGCATCACCAAGGTGTACCAGGAGGGAGGCGACTTCGTCGCGGCCGCTGGGTACTGCGCGGGCGAGCTCTACGGTTACGGCCACTCCAACGTGCTTTTCAAGCCAACCAGGGCGACCAACAACCCGTTCCGCCCGACGGGTGAGGACGCGATGGCGTACTTTGTGGGCGCAGAGGCGATGAAGAACGACAAGTTCAAGGTGCGCGCATGCATCCGCCCTCGCGTCGCTCCCGCGCACTTCCCCTCTCTCACGCGCGCGCACCCCCCCTCCCCCCCCCCTGCCACACAGGGTGAGGACGGCGGCTTCGCCATCAACGGCGGACAGGGCTGGTCCGAGGTGGTGTTCCGCAACCACCAGATCGATTGCAACGGCAACACGGCTATCGCAATGGGCGACTACCTGTTCACGAACGCGACCACTGGCGACGTGGGCCGCGTCGAGTACACCTTCGGCTACAAGAAGAACGATGACGGCAAGATGCGGATTTTCCTGTGCGTGCCGTGCCGCCCCTCCTCCCAGCCTATATCTCGGCTTATCTCAGCCTGCGGCGCCCCATGCAGGCACCACTCGTCCATGCCGTACGAGCCCGCCGCGGCGGCCCCCGCGAACGACTCGGTTGAGGAGGCTCTGTCGATGTGGGCCGAGTCGATCGCCAAGCAAGAAGATGCTCTCGCACGCTTCAAGATCGGCGGGATGAGCAAGCCGTAGATATAGGATGTGCCTCTGAGAGGGGCGAAGTGGTTAGTTGGTGGGATGGATGTGCAGTGGGCGCTGACAATGGACAGGGCGAGAGCTCTCTCTCCGCGCGCATTTGCCCTCTGGTCTTGCCCTGGACGCTGGAGCGTGTCCGGGAACCTAGTCTCTGTGGCGCGGCGTGTGCTCTTGAAGAGCGGCGGTGCGGTGTGCGGGCGTGCAGCGCGAGGGACATTCCTCTGTGTTCCACCCGCGACCCGGGCTAATGATATTAGTTATTGTTGCACCCGCGCGCCGCGGAGACACGTCCACACATCTTGCACGGCGCGGTCAAACCACAAACGACCACCATGTGTGTATCGCGCGCCTTGCGGGGGGGGCGCGGAAAAGAGGAACCTCTTAGCGCCATCGCCATGGTGCTGCAAGCAGCGCAGGCAGGCATACCGCCCACCACAAGAAGTCAACTCCTGCGCGCCCTGTTCTCCGAAAGACCCCCAGCCGGGCAAGGCGCGGACAAGGCGATCCCCATGGGCAACACCCCCAGCCGGAAGGCGCTGGACAAGGCGATCGGCGCGCTGCCCGAGTCGGAGCACTACTTTGGCCTCGAAAACTTTGGCAACACGTGCTACTGCAACTCGGTGCTGCAGGCGCTGTACTACTGCGGCCCGTTCCGCCAGGTTTGCCCCAGCGCGCCGCCCGCCACGCGCCCTCGTCTCCCACGCCTGGCCTTGACCCGATCTCGCCGACCGCCGCCCCTCTGCGCCACCGCTCACTCTCCGGGTGACTCTCCCCATCCAGCGCTGCCTGGAGCACCACGCGGTCGCGGCGAGCAGCGGCGAGGACGACCTCCTCGCCTGCCTCTGCGACCTGTTCCGCGCCATCTCCTCGCAGAAGCGCCGATGCGGCGAGCACGCGCCTCTATGGGAGAGGGTCCACACCTCTCCGGACCCTTGCGGAGGTTGCCTATAGGCGTGCACGCGCCACGCCGTTTCGTCGCAAAGGTCGCTGCTCTCCTCCGCTCCACTCGGCTCTGCCTGCTCTGCTCTCTCTCTCCCCCTCTCTCCCCCTCTCTCTTCCTCTCTCCCTCTCTCTCCCTCTCTCTCCCCCCCTCCCTCCCTCTCTCCCTCCCTCGCCAACACCGCACGTCTTCACACTGCGCAGCTGCGAGGCGTGAACGAGCTCTTCAACAACCAGATGCACCAGGACGCGCACGAGTCCCTCAGCCTAGATGCCGACTACGGTTCTGTGTGCCCCGACTGGCGCCCGAGAGGACGCGTCTTCCGCCGCATTCCGCTGTGCTCACTGCATCCGCAGCCCCGCCTACTCACGCGATGCTCCGAGTCGTCACGGCACGAGGACCGTACTTTGGTTCGCTCGCCCTCTGGTTCACCGGCTCACTCACACTGCAGGTTCCTCAACTACCTCCTCAACGAGTCGGCGGAGCTGCTCGAGAAGCGGCAGAAGCGCGAGCTGACTAACCAAAAGTCCCGCCCCCTCCCGTCCAGTCCATTCGCTCCTCTTCCTCAATTGGGACAAATGCCG